CCCTCCCACCTTATCAACATGCAAATTAAACTCTTCAATCAAATAATATTTTTCTGAGAAATACCCATTTAAGAATATAAGACCCATTGTTGCCATCACTGGGTCTGTCTGCTGTCTTTAATTAGAGTCTAGTGGGAGGGGTCGGCAGACTCTTGTAAACATCACAGCATTCTTCTTGGGTTCTTGTTGAAAAGAATAATACAGTAAGAAAGAACACCTCTGCTGGATCTCTTTAGTTGTGCCTGTTTCTTTTTTCTGGCCACTCGATGCTGAAGATTTTAGCTGTGCACTCTGTTGACTGGTTGCAGACATGTCTAAAGGAATTCCAGGGATAGGTTCATGCTCTTAAAGCCTGGGAGCAAAATGATTGATGGCAGAGAAAGCTGAAAGCTGTGAGGGAGGGGAAAACAACAGTACAGATGAGGGGAAGAAGTGATTTGATGAATGATAGAGGTCGTTTTGACAGGAAATGAAGGTGGGCTCAAGATCGCTGCCGCAGCTTCTAAAGGGGTATGTTGCGGAAATGCAAGATTACAGGGAATTGAGAGTATTCAGTTTTAGCACAGGAGAGGACTTTCTGTAAGTGAGAGGAACAAAAGTAAGGCTGGAGTTTAGCTTTAATTCATCAAAACTGCCATTAATAAGTTCTCTGTATTTTCTTGGCAGATGTAAACCAAGAATAACAGGCAGGCAGTGTGATCGCTGTGCTCCAGGTTATTTCCGCTTTCCTGACTGCATTCCGTGTAACTGCAATTCAGATGGTACACAGCCTCAGATCTGTGATCACCACACAGGTGTCTGCCTGTGCAAGGTACTGTATCTAAACCACACAAACTTCACCTTCATCTCAAGTCAGAGTAAATTGTCTAATGATCCTTGAAACATTAGATGATAAAATGGTCAGCTTTAGAGCAATATTATCCACTTTGGTTTAGCCAGAAACTCTCTTCTCTTTCCTCGGCTCCCTACGTTGCCGCCTTTCTCCACCGAATGATTGCAAATCACCGCTTTCTTAATAGAAACACTCCCCCAGGGCCAGGGGGACATAGCAAGAAATACCATAGTGTAGTATGTAATTAAAAAACCTTTATGAAAAAAAGCTAAAAGCCACTCACATACAAACAATGAGAACTCGATCTGTGTCCCGCTGTACCAGTGTTCTTCCTTTGCTCGTGCAGTCTCGATGACGTCAGCATGCACACGCCTATCCAACATTCCTGGGAAGGGCTTCCTTTGCCATTTGGGATGTCTGTGCCACAGAGGTGCATCAATAGTATTTTATAGGGGCCCTCACCAATAACTTGTCCTGTTACAAGGCAGAATCATTTTAATATGTAAAAAAATCTTGACTGACACTAATCCACCACTTTCAAAATGATAATAACTGCACACTTATCATCAGAACTTTGCACCAACTCCTCGGTGGAGGTGAGCCACTCTCTCTAGTTGTAATTAGCACTAGTGCATTGGGAGCAATCATAATCTTACCAGCATCTGGAGCATACTAAATACACCTCCAATTTTATCAGTCCGGTACACACTTTGTTTAACAGTGCCTGGCCCTGATAAAAAGGGTCTGTTTAAACCCCTAAATTGTAATGAGTTTTATGATATAAGAGTCTGAATGAAATGAAATCTGGGCTTTATATGTTCTGCTTTCGGCGCTTTCCTCCTTGCTCGCCTAATCCATAACATCAAGTCTATCTGTTTTATAGACATAAAATTAATGCTTTTGATTGCCACAGAGCTTGAATATCACGTGACCAAATTCATAAATATAATATTCTGTATCTGTTCCAACATGCAGGAAAATATTGGAGGTACAAGATGTGATGCTTGCCAGAGTGGAACATTTTATTTTGATCCTTCAAACACCAAAGGATGTACCAAGTGTTTTTGTTTCGGAGCAACAGATGTTTGCCATTCTTCCAATAAGCACAGGAAAAAGGTAAAACCTAATAATTGAAAGCTGAACTGGCAGTTCTGGAATACCACCATTTAATCCGGTTATACATTTCTTTAGAAATGTATTTTTAAAAACAGCTAGTATGTGTACTTATCTGTCTTTATATTAGATATCTTTATTTCCCTACCTAGAATGATTCTGATTGGAAGAGAGAGGGTGACTGTGATGTAGTCAGGCTCTGTTGCTCTCTGTCAGCATATTACTGGGAGTTTGGCTGACCGAGGAGATAACAGGTTAAGGAAATGGTGACAGCATCTGTAAACTGCTGCTGCTTCATTATCCAGACAGCAAGGTGGGAGCTGGTGGGTGACCAAGCTGAAATGCTTAAAGCCCATCTCCAGGTTAAGGGAAAAAAAACTACTCTTGCAGTGCGGGGGTTAACTACTCTTTAATGTCTAGGAGAGCTGTGTAAATATTTTTTACTTACCTGATCTCTGCTCCCCAGGCAGCCGGCACTCACCTCTCCTCTCCGGCTTGTGGACTGTCCCTTGCTATTCTCATGTATAACAGAGGACTATAGGTCCAGCATGTGATGACGTCAGCGGGCCTCCAACTGCCAGAGCGAAGGGGGAGAAGGGCTGTGTGCACTGGTCTTGGAACCTGTGGGAGCAGGGAGCAGGTAAGTAAAATACAGAAGTCTCCTACACATTGAGGAGCACGTAACCCTTGCAGTGCAGTCCTAACAAGGGCACGTAGATTTTATTTTTAGGAAATAAATAGTTTGCTATGTGACAGCCAATGCAGAGAAAAAAAACAGAAAGTAGATTTCATTATTGCTATGATTCCTGACTTTCATGGTTATAGGAGAGATTATAACTTTCAATGTCAGTTGATTTTCTTTTTGTATGCTCTATAATTCTAAGTCTGCCCAAGACCACCTCAGTGAACTGTTGGGAATGCAGAATAGGGTCAACTGTCCTTGGCTAGATATAGGAATAAGTAGAGAAAGCAGCTCTACCTCTGTACAGTCTACAGTGTGGCATGGAGTCAGAACCCAAGAGAGAGTTCTCATCAGGGTGCTCCACAAGTTTTTTTTTAATACGTCATCCCGATTAACCAAAAACCTATACTAGAACCTACCATTGCATACTACTTTCTGAAAATCTTGGCCTGGCTGTCATGCTGATCTTTTGGCTTTAATATCGTCTGAGTCACTGGTCAGGAACAAATATGGAGCAACTGAAGAGCAAGAACTGATTTGCATACTGGCTAATAGATTATAGAAATTCTGAAAATTGAAGCCAAAGAATCAGCCTGCCAGCGAGAAAACTATAATTTTTCAGAAGGAGGTCGGCAAAAGTGGCCTAGGGATTTCTGTTATGGCAGGTGTATGTATGTGAAACCCATCACCACCGATGGGGAAGCAGAAGATTTCCAACACTGCCTACACACCTTTTCTGTTGTGTGTGTTGTTTCTCTGAGAAATGTAGGCTTGTGGCAACAGGTGTCTAATGTCTATGGGCATGTTCAGTGCTGACTAACTGTCACATTACTGCATATGCACTGTTGGATGCTCAGTCTCTTAGAACTTTTACTTATGACTTCTGGGTTTTTTTTGGTTTTTTTTATACACTGCCTGGTCAAAAAAAATCACCACCTGGATTTAGCAAATAGGCATTCCATTGGATAATTGGTCAGCAACATTCTGTTCCAAAAAAATTAAAGGCTCTCTTCCAGAATGGCCAGGTGTTTTCCATTAACTGATTTTTTCTTTCCTGTTGACACAAGATGACAATGGCAAGATGCATCAGGCTCAGATTGAGTGGTAAACAGAGCATGAGACATCGTTTTCACACATAGATTGGCCACCGCAGAGTCCAGACCTTAACCCAATTGAGAATCTTAGGGATATGCTGGAGAAGACTTTACACAGTGGTCTGACTCTCCCATCTTCACTTCAAGATCTTGGTGAATAATTAATGCAACTCTCGATGGAAATAAATGTTGTGACATTGCAAAAGCTTATGGAAACGATGCCATGGCAAATGCATGCTGTAATCAAAGCGTTCCAAAGAAATATTAGAGTGTGTGACTTTTTTCTTTTTTTTTGCCAGACAGTGTACATATCTATGTATTCGGTTTGGCTTGTCATTTGTAAACGTATGTATATATGTCTATTATACTTTTTATGGTAGTGTCATTGTAATCAATGTATTTCTCATATTTAGTTTGTAGACATGAGGTCATGGAGTCTCGAGGCATCAGATCAGACCAGAGTCGCTGTCACTTTCAACCCAGGCAGCAGAAGTGTTGTAGCAGATGTGCAAGAATTACCACCATCAGTTCACAGTCTGTACTGGGCGGCACCAGGGTCATATTTGGGAGAGAGGGTAAGGGTGTTTATGATGAATGTAGCCATATTATAGATTTTGTTGTAGTTTTAAAAAGCTCATCTCCAGGCTAGAATGTTGCCAACCCCTGTCCTGTTCTTCCACGATATATAGCTTCATTTTTTTTCTATACCATTCTAAGCGCCCATGTGCATGAAAGATAGAAGAAGTTTTTGTTAATCTCCTGTGTTATTGATTTTATGTATCAGTGAAGGAGCTGATTTTAAAATATGTCGGTGTGCCGCTATCCACTTTTTCTGCAACAGTGTTACCTGTAACGAGCTGTGCAAGCTTCTGACTGTGGTGGGCAAAGCATGGGCCATCCTGGAGCACCACTATGGTTTATTCACATTTTCGCTTTTGTTATAGCCTTTTTGAAAAGCATACATTTCAAAGCTCATCTCCATGCTAGTATTTTTCCCAACTTCCTTCCTACCTCTGTTCCCCCACAACATATAGCTTAAATTTTTTCCCTCTTACCTGTGCCAAAAGCACAAAAATGTCATCAACACCAATGATGTCATCAGAGCAGAGGAGTGCTGAGGTAATTGGAGGTAGAGGGTGACGCTATGAAGCAGAGCTGGCAGTCACAGGCACTAATGTTATTCATGTTTACCTCCATGGAATTAGGCAGAACTGGTGTAATGATGTCAGAACTGTCTAAATAGAAATTACTAGTGAGAGTGGTGAATCTGGTCATCCAGCATACAGAGTGCAGGCACAGGTCTTCTCCACAGTAGGCTCTAGCATCCCAAGAAGCACATTGAGGACACTATTCACATAAGTGTGCCATCCAATACATTAGTATTAAACCTCGCTTTTGCCCGGAGATGGGCTGTAACATTTTAGACAGCTGAAAATGTCCTTCTATGCATAACCATATCCAATGCCAAATGAAAATTCTAAATAACTAAGCAGGTATTCTGTGTTAATACAGAGTTGCATTTTGTTGTTTTTGTGAAATAAATGAGGACAAGTGTAAGCTCTGTTATAAGCAAATACAAGAGGCATATGTATTCTTACTTGAATCTTGGGGCGCTTTGTATATTTCTTCCGCATCTGTGCGGTAATCCATTGTGAGACTTTTTCCTCTGTGAAAGGGCTTCCTATAATAAAGACCAGTCACTGTTGCTCTTTCTTCTTGTGCAGGGCGACTGGTCTTGTATCCTCCCCCTCCTATAGTTTTCTGCACAGGCTATGTGCAGTACAGTGATGATGTCATTGCTACTTTTATATGGTAACATCTGGGTTTACAAACACATTTGGTGCACACATAGTGGATTTATATCCTTTTTGGCTATTGAGAAGTATATTTAAATGAAAGTTTTTGTGCCCAGAGTTCAACTTCAAAGGAAAAAATGATATTTCTTTTACGTTGTACAGATCTCTTCATATGGCGGCTCTCTGACATATCAACTGAAGTCCTTTGGCTTACCAAATGAAGGCATGGTGCTTCTAGACAAGCGACCAGATGTTCGGTTGACAGTAAGTTGACTGATGATTAGTGACTGCATTTTCCAAGGAAATTATAGCAAAAACTTAAAGTAGCAGAGGAGGAGAGAGTCTGGTGGGAGTGTTGAGGAGGAGAGAGTCTGGAGGGAGTGTTGAGGAGGAGAGAGTCTGGTGGGAGTGTTGAGGAGGAGAGAGTCTGGAGGGAGTGTTGAGGAGGAGAGAGGCTGGAGGGAGCCGGGCAGCTCAGAGGATCAGGTGAGTATACCTTTGTTATTTTCCTCCCTAGACAAAAAACAAGCACTTAACCCTTGCAGTGCAGGGGTAGCCCCACTGATGGGTTAACAAAAAATGTCCCCGGAGTTCTGCTCTAATGCCTTGTAAAGATGTCTTTTAGGTAATGAGACACAAAATGAAATGTGGCATGTAGTTCAGATTCTTCTGTTACTGTATGCCAGGCGTTTGGATCATAGGGCTCTGCTGGAGCTTGACAAATACTGCCAGAAATGGCTTTGATTGCCAACATTCCCATGATTCCTGCTATATTCTGCCACTGTTGGACGGTTGATTAATTCCTTACAGTTAGAACAAAGCTTTGCTAGGTTCCATTGCCCCATACAGGCCAGTAATACTTGGTGGTATAACAAACACATAGTGAAACGGAATCTTGGCTGTTGCATACCGTGTTTCCCCGAAAATAAGACACTGTCTTCTTTTATTTTTTTTCATGAAAAAAGACACTAGGTCTTATTTTCGGGGGATGTCTTACCTGGCTGCAGCTGTCGAGCTCTCCGCTCCGATGCAAACAGGTGTGCGGGCAGGGGGGCATGTTGTGTGGGCGGGCATGTGGGCGGGCGTGTTCTGTGGGTGGGCGTGTGTGCGGGGGGGGGGGAGGGGGCGGCGGCCGCTCTTAACATGTAAAGATCAATTACATGTGCAGCTACCCCGGAAGTAAGATCTAGCGCTATCTTCAGGGATTTCTGTAATATAAGACCTACCCCGAACTAGGTCTTATTTTCGGGGTAGGTCTTATATTACAGAAATCCCTGAAGATAGCGCTAGGTCTTACTTTCGGGGTAGGTCTTACTTTCGGGGGAAACACGGTACTACAGTTAGTTAGTAAACATTTTGTGTGTTGCTGCTGATTTTAGGCTATGTGTAATCACAGATGTATGAGAATTATTGTGCAACAGCCTGTGGAAGCCCACATCTTTTTTGGGTTCATGTTGCTAGGAAATTTAAAGGGACAGTAAACAGCATATGACCAGTTTATTAAATATACATAAAAAAAACCCACATACAATGAAAGAATAACACTACCTTAGTTACCTGTAGTAACCTTTTTTTAATCTGCACTGGAGGAGCGCATGAGAAAATTTGTTAGCATTAAGCAACGCACACAGAGGGGAATTTATCAAAACTGGAGCAGACAAAATCTGGAGCCGCTGTGCATGGCAACCAATCAGCCTCTCTCTTTCATTTTCAAATCTTAACTGAACAGACTGAAGAAAGAAGCTGATTGGTTGCCATGCACAGCTGGTCCAGATTTTGTCTGCTCCTGTTTTGATAAATTACACCCACAGTGTTTTAAGGTCTCTTAAAATGAAACTACAGTTCTGTTGTGCCAGTGTTATGATTCAAACACCTCCAGTCTGTCCTTTGGACTATGAACACAAGAGATGTAGCAATTGAAGTGCCACACCAATTATAACAATCCAGATACAACTTTACTCCATAACGGTCAGGGTACATTCAAGTAGAAATGCCAACGTGTTTCTGGGATCCAAATCACAACCCCTTCATCACGGCTTAATGAGAAAAATCATGTATGTGGACTACAATCCCTACAGCATGAAAAATTGTATTTAGTTGTAATGGGAGCACTTCAGGCTTATCCGCAGCTGGTTTGGCTGCCAGACTCCCAAAACTTATTCTACAGTGACCAGGCTGGAGACAGAGATGTAGTGTAAAAAAGCTTTAAAGCTAATCCAGGGTAAGGAGTGTGACCTCCCTGGCTTTGCAGTGCAGCAAATGTGTGTCAATCACAAGACTGGCTGAATAGATTTCAAATCCTTTGGCAAGTGCAATAGTTCACATGTATGTGTTTTAGCTGTGTAGTGTATGTAGGTGTTTGTCTGGACATCTGCTAGTCCACATTCTCTAATAGAAGATAATTTTTAGTGTCGTACACAATTGTCGTCTTTTTATTGCATTCTTATTTTTTTATATTTCCTTCAATCAGGGTAGACAAATGACTGTTGTTTATGTGGATGCCAGCAATCCTTTACCAGACAGGCAATACTATGGACGTGTTCAGCTTGTGGAGGTGAGATTGCAAGTATTACATTAAACTCTCTTAAAAGCTTAACAATGCTTGTGTTTTTGGTGACCTATGAGAATTCCTTCATCTGGATGTACACAGAGCAATGAAGATCCAGATACTTACCCATTCTCCAAATACTACAATTTACAACACTGAGGGAGCGGGGATCAGGTTAGTAGGATTCCTTTATTTAGATCCCCTAGACATTAGTGAGCTGTTAACCCTTGAAGTGGGAATTCCCACTTCAAGCTGCCCCTCCCCCAGACATAGGATTTAAAGGAGAATTTAGGGGAAGAGTAAAATACACTCATCCCCATAATTAGAGCTGACGCGTGACGCTGCAGCTGTCACACATCAGCTTTACTGATCGGGAATTGAGCGTTCACATACCAACGATCGCTCAGTGCCTGATCATCTCCCTGCAGAGATCAGTGACTGTCAGGTACTGCTCCCCGCAGGGATTCCACCCTCCCCTCTTTGTTCCTCCTGCGCTGACTGGAGGGACGGATGGGTGAGGGGGCAGGCACAGCTGGCAGGGCACAGCTGGCTCTGCTTCTAGAGAGGCAGAACCAGCTGTCAATTAGGTAGCGGGGTGAATATTTTTGGGATCTTTCCTAGCTGCAGCGCGGCTCTGCGCTTGCAGCATATAGAGCTATATGCTGAGTTTTGGGTCACAGAAGGACATTAGTAAATGTCCTCCTGTGATCCTAAAGAGAGCTATGGAAAAAAAGTTTGGCCATAGTTCTCTTTTAATCCTCATTTGATTTCTGGACTGGCAGATTTTAGATTTTATCATCATTTTGCACCTAAAATGTAACTAAACCTTTAGTTTTTTTGTGTCACCTGACCTCCACCCTGCCCCTTTCCCCACGAGACTGATAGACTCCTGACCCAGAACCAGAGAGATATTATGGTCCAGCGAATGATGAACTCCCTATAGGAATAAATAGAAAGTGCAGTTCCAGCAGTGACCTGTGGTGTGTAGCATCTCTGCGGTACAGATGAGGGTACACAGCTGATATCTTTCTGGACTAATGATAGGGGAGTATAAAACTCACAGAGGGGCTGGGGGGTGGGCAGTAAGATTGTCAAATAAAATGTATCTAAAAGTGAAGTTAGGGGAAAATACACTTAAAACTGCAGAATAATACTGCTGTGCTCAGTCACTTTCTGGCTTCTAATTTTTTGGAACCCCGAAGAGAAACCCCAAGATATTAAATCCACCCCATTCAATTTGCATGTAAATGGGGTCTATAGAAATAAAGAGTAATTTCAATATCCAGCCATGAAAAAGTAATTGTTAAAGCAATCTGCTTATATCTGCTGCATGGTACCTGTACTGGCCTGATCCCAGAGAAAAGGGTATTGTCAGGAAAATCTGCATTGCTGATCCATAATTGTCCCTTAGCCAGGAGTGTTGCAGATGTTGCAGAATGCTCATATATCTATTATCATTTCCAGATCCATCCATGACCTAGAGTAAAGTGACACTAAACTTGGGAGTTAAAACCTGAAAATGCACTCAATTATTAACAATACTGGGCATTATTTGTGTATCACTCAGCAGCAGGTCCTCAAATCATCTCTGAATTGGTGCTGACACTTTTCTTCCTTCTGGTGGGTGGCTACATGTGTTCCCCATGGTCCCTGTGAGTGTTGTAAAGTAGTCACCGATCCAAGCTCACTCATGTGATGGACTACAATCTCAATACAAATTAGTAAACGTGAGAAAAAGTGGGATTGTAGTCGTGAAATTAAACGTGAGATTGTAGTCCATCACAGGAGCGAGCTTGTACTTTACCATAAACACAGGGACCATGGGGAACAAAATTAGCCACCCTCATTAATGAAGGACAGTGTCACCATGAATTCAGAGATGATTTGTGGATCTGCAGTTATAGGATACAGTACTGTTAATAGTTAAGGTACTTGAATGCATTTTAACATTGAACTTTTTAAGTTTAGTGTCACTTTAAGTGATGATCTTGCAATCTTGCATTAGTTATCGTGCTTTGTTTGATGTTTATGTTAACTACCCTGCTCCCTGCTGAGTTCTCCGTCAAATAAATCAAGAAAACCACAGGGAGAATGGGACCATATTACTTCAGCCCCTTGGGTGGATCTTCATGTGAGGGTTCTCAAGAAATGAAGCAAGTCAGCACCCATCTGAACCCATCGACTTTCAAAGCAGTAGTTCAGTGTCTAGCCAAACGTTATGATAGCGTGAATAAGCGTTAAAACCCATGTCAATTTTTTTTTTGCTGCATGTGTGATTCATTTAGGAGATTTGTATTTACTTCCTGTCTTTTTCATGAGTGTCATTCAGAAAAGGAAATGAGGGAAAAGCTCCCTAATTTGAATGCAGGCAGCTATAAAAACACACATTTTAGTTGCATGGGGAAGGGTAGAACCTCTGTTAAGATAATTGTTCTGTCTCAATGCCCATTGGGAGATTTCCCCCCATTTACTGTACAGGTGACGGGTGTCTAACAGAAAAGGATGTTAAGGTAAATCTCCCCAGTTGGGAACTGAGGTAGCATTTAAGGCCATACAGAAGTTTTTTTTTATTCTCTCCAAAACCATTTAAAATAAAGTAATAAATAAAATTAATTTAACATTATATTTAATAGGGTTGTCTCACAAATTAGGAAAACAGACAAATCTAACTTTGCCATTTCACTGGCCCTACAATTATACACATTTTGTAACATCCCATCATTTTTTTAATGATTTGTTTTTTAATTAAAACCTTATTTAGATTAAATAGATTGGATAACCTGGCCACCTGGGAGTGCAATATGTAAATATTATGTAGCAGTAGTTTGTTCCATTATTTTAGAGTAAACACTCCATATTTATTTGTCTGTGCCAGCCATAAAGGGGCTTTACAAAATCCCACAGGCAATACCAAACACAATGCAAAATTATACATTGTAACAATGTGATGTTTTTTTTGGGAAATCAGACAAAAATGATTTTCCAGGGGGTGGCAGTAGGAGAGAATGCTCTGTTTTTCTAAGAGTGCCAAGGAGACAAAAAGAGCTTACTCTGCTATTTCAATGTACTGTACCTGGTACTATAGGTAGTGCTGCTGCTTTGAGTTTTTTTGGCATAAAGTACTGGTATGTATAAGGAAGAATGAATCAGATCAAAGAAAGGCTGCTCATGTCCAGCCATGCTACAATCTCTACAAATAGTTAGCAATACATCGCTAGCTGATATTCATTGCAAGATCAGTCTTGTAAAGTTGCTGTCTGTGTTCTCCAATTCTCCTTCACTAATGGTATAGTCTGAAAGGTCCAGAACTGGAAATTTTAAAATGTGTGTACTGTGTACAGTATATTAAAATTTATACTGTACACTAGAGCCTGATGCTTAATCTAAAGCTGGCCATACACTGCTCGAACTTCACCTGACCTCTGCTGAAATCTGAGCTGTGTGTGTCCCTGCTGCCACCACCGGGCTTGACAAAACTAAATTTTGTTAATCAACTTTTGTCGAAGGAGTGAGGTGGAAAATTGTCGGCCCGAACAATGACTGTACCCAATCAGCTGCAGTCACTGTTCGGGTATGCTGATGGGGGCAGGTGCCAGCTGTCAGAATACACTAGCCCGGCAGTGCAGATTCGTTCATCCACGCTGTTTAGCAAGGATAGAGGAATCTGTGAGATTCTGAATGAAGGCAATCTATGGGTGTATGGGTAGTTTTTTGTGTGGCCCTTGGGGCCCCTGCAGACAGTAGTCTGCGTTTTCCTTAGCTAGGTTCTTACTTAGGCCAGTGAAGCAAAAATACTCTTTAGATTGGGTTCTAGTAGTTAAATGGTTGAATAACAATTAAATACACAAAAAAAGAATGCCAAGGAGTCTATTTATAAACAAATATCTGTGATTGATTGTTCTGTGTGAATGGATGCACAAAACAAACATTCTTTATTTTATTTTATAAGGCAAACGCTTTTTCAAATGTCATCGTAAAATGTGCATTATGGCACTAGATGGAGCTGAGGGGCATAGGAAATAAATACAAAATATAACAAGAATGTTCGTTTTGTGCATCCATTTGCATCAAATGATCATTCACACAGATTCACAGGGATAATAATTGCTCTACAAAGTGTTTATAAGTGAAATAAATAAACTACTATGGGGTCTATTCACAAAGCAGCCGAAGGATCTAGCCGTAGCTTCGGCCGATCCTTCGGCTAGATTCGGCCCCAGGACCCCTTCGGTTCAGTAGAACCGAAGGGCTGCTGTACGGGCTATTCACTATAGCCTGTACAGCTCCCAAAGTCGGCCGGGTGGCTCAGTTGAGCCGAAGGCATATGCTTCGGCTCCACTGAGCCGAGGTGAAAGCCGAAGCTGGCCGAGCGGCTGGCCATTGGCCGGCCGACAGCCTGTTCTGACAGCTGGGCAGAGCCAGCCGTGATCTTACGGCTGGCTCCGGCCACTTGCAGAGAGATCAGCGTCCCTGGTTACCAGCTAACCAGGGACACTGATCTCCAGACAGCCTAACTCTCCCGGGCGCTCCGGGAGTCTTCCGCTCCCGGCCGCCCAGGTGAGAAACACTGCCTTTTCTTTTTTTTTTTTTATTCTGACACGGAGCCATTGGCTGGCGTCAGAATAAATTAAATAAAGGATTGTATGGAGCTAGCAATGACAGTTAGCTCCGCCCAACTGTTTTCTATAGGCCGACGGTTCTGCTGCCATTAAAAAAAACTATTTTCACCATAGTAATGCATTGCTAGATTCCTTTTGGCTATTTCAATTTGCAATAGCCAATAGCAAACTAGCTAATACACCCGCCCACTGCTGCAGTTCTCCATCACGTCCCCACTAGTGATTGACAGCAGCAGAGGGCGGGTGCAATAGCTAGTTTGCTCTTGGCTATTGCAAATTGAAATAGCCAATAGGAATCTAGCAATGCATTCCTATGGTGAAAATTGTTTTTTTTTTATGGCAGCAGAACCGCCGGCCTATAGAAAACAGTTGGGCGGAGCTAACTGTCATTGCTAGCTCCGTACAATCGTTTTCTATTTTTGTTTTTCTCCTTTTTTAACTATTTTTCTGTTCTGCTCGGTCCCACAGAGGGACCGAGCAGAACAGCCGAGCCAAATGCCGCTCAGCAGCATTCGGCTATTTACTCACTGCTGTTCGGCATCTATAAGAATAG